CAAAATAATTTTGGTCTAAAATACAGCTTAAGGGACACCTAGGTGGCCCAGTCCGTTGAGCATCTGACTTTTGATTTCAGCTCAGGTTGTGATCTTGGGGTCCTGGGGATCAAGCTCTGTGTCAGGCTCCCTGCTCAGTGCAGAGTTGCTCATCTCTCTCCCTCTGCTCCTATCCCCGCTCTCTCTCAAATAAATAAATAAAATCTTTAAAATATAGCTTAGGCCAAATTGTATTATCTAAATCTGATGTTCACCTTTGTTTTCAGTAGGAAGGAAAAACATTTACAAAGGAAAATCTCCAAAACTCAAGCTACAATCTACTTTACCTTTTTAAAAAGACCTTTAATATCTTTTATTCACAGAAGGAGGAAACCAAATGACTGATACACAAAAAGAAAAAATACGTAAAAATACATGTAACCTCAGTAGTAAACAAGAAAATATACAGCAAGATAATTTTTGCCCACCAGACTGGTCAAAATGGAAATTATTAGTAATATCTAACATGGTCTGGGTGTGGAGAAATAAACTTCCTCATACACTGTGGGTAGAAATATAAAATGGTGCAGCATTTTTGGAGTGCAGTTTGGCAGAATCAGTCAAAATCTACAACGAAACATACCTGGAGCTCCTGGGGGGCTCAGTGGGTTAAATGTCTGACTCTTGGCTTCAGCTCAGGTCCTGATCTCATGCGTCATGAGATCAAGCCCTGTGTTGGGCTCCGTGCTTAACGGGAGTCTGCTAGAATAGTCTCTCCCTCTGCCCCTTCCCCTATTTGTGTGCCCTCTCTCGCTCTCTCTAAAATAAATAAATAAATAAATATTTTAAAAATAAAAATAAAGGACACCTGTGTGGTTCAGTTGGTTGAGTGTGTGCCTTTGGCTCAGGTTGCGATCCTGGTGTCCTGGGATGGATTCCATGTTGGGTTCCGTGCCCAGCAGGGTGTCTGCTTCTCTCTCTACCTTCCCCCCTGGTTGGGATCTCTCCCCTCTACATTCAAATAAATGAATAAAATCTTAAAAAATAATTAAAATAAAATGAAGCAGGGGCGCCTGGGTGGCTCAGTGGGTTAAAGCCTCCGCCTTCGGCTCAGGTCATGATCTCAGGGTCCTGGGATCAAGCCCTGCATCAGGCTCTCTGCTCAGCAGGGAGCCTGCTTCCTCCTCTCTCTCTCTGCCTGCCTCTCTGCCTACTTGTGATCTCTGTCAAATAAATAAATAAATAAAATATTTTAAAAATAAAATAAAATGAAGCATAGTTTTGCAGCTTCAACTGTCCGTCTCTGGTGAATTTTTTTCTCCAGCGTCCATTCTACATATATTTTCCCAGCATTGTAGAAGCCAGGTGGTTCCACAGGTAAACTGTCATTGTCCTAAACCAATCAGCACCATCCTATTTCCTTCTGCTCCCATGATTAATTCAGGCAAAGGAATTTAAGAGAGGTCCAAGCCAATAAGTGCATACCGTTTCCTTGGCTACAGTGCTTGACTCCAGTGAGCAATATCCACATTCAGCCTAGAATGAAGTGAAGTTTGGTCTGATGGCTAGAGAAACACACTTCCTCCCCCATACATGAATGAAGCATGTGGCTCCAGGAGTCAAATTTCCCAAAGTGTATATTATCTAAACTAAAATTTTATTTATTTTTTAAAAGATTTTATTTACTTATTTGAGAGAGAGAGAGAATGAGAGAGAGAGAGAGAGCATGAGGGGAGAGAGGTCAGCAGGAGAAGCAGACTCCCTCCTGAGCAGGGAGCCTGAGGTGAGACTTGAGCCCTGGGACTCCAGGATCATGACTTGAGCCGAAGGAAGTCGCTTAACCAACTGAGCCACCCAGGTGCCCTAAACAAAAATTTTAAAATTCATTCATCTAAATAATCATACTTGTATATTTATTTTAACAAACACCATGGGCTCTACCATTTATTGAGTGACTCTGTATGTGTCCCTTAAACCTTCTAAGCCTAGTACCTTGCCTATAAAATAAAACTTACATTCCTGGGTGCCTGGGTGGCTCAGTGGGTTAAAGCCTCTGCCTTCGGGTCAGGTCATGGTCTTAGTGTCCTGGGATCGAGCCCCGCATCAGGCTTTATGCTTGGCAGGGAGCCTGCTTCCTCCTCTCTCTCTGCCTGCCTCTTGCCTACTTGCGATCTCTCTCTGTCAAATAAATAAATAAAATCTTAAAAACAAAAACAAAAACAAAATTAAAAAAACCTTACATTCCTTCCTTTGTAGGATTATTACTACTATTGTCACATAAAAATCACTGGTTAGGGGCACCTGGCTGGCTCAGTCAGAAGAGCATGTGACTCCCGATCTTGGGGTTGTGAGTTCGAGACCTATGTTGAGTGCAGGGTGAAGAAGGAGGGGGAGGGGAGGAGGAAGAGTGAGGGGGAAGGGAATTAAGAAGAAAGGAGGAGGAGGAGGAGAAGGAGAAGGAGAAAAAGAAGTCGGAGAAGGAGAAGAAGTAGAAAGAAAAGGAGGAGGAGGAGGGGGGAGGAGAAGGAAGAGGAGAATAACAGAAAGAAGGAGGGGAAGGGGGGGAAGAGGAGGAGAAGGAAGAAGAAGAAAGAAGGGGAGAAAGAAGAAATCACTGTGTGAGATGGTGTGGAACAGAAACAGATAAATAAAGTATGGCTCCCAATCTTTAGAGACACAGAAAAATTAGTGGGGGTGGTGACAATGGATTGTTGAACTTGCCCATGTGACTTCAGAACCAGGCCCTGACTCTTCTGAAGGGTCCAGGAACATCTTAATAAACAGATTTTCTACTAAAAAAAATATATAGTGGGGGTATGGGGGGTACAGATAGTAGGTATACATGAAAGCAAAAGGAATGATGGTCTAAGGAAGAGGCTAAAAACTAGTTGGGAAGGGAAGTAGCCAGTTAGAACACTGTTATTGTGGGATGGAGGGAGAGTTTTCAATTCTAACAGCTACATTAATGAATATCATTTTCCAGATCTAGAGACATGGAGACAGCCTAATGGAAATAAACTGACCAAAAAAAAAAAGCCTATTCTCTTGACTAATAGGAGATCCTCTAATGGACTAGGGACAGAAAAACATGCTGAACTGAGATATTTTGGTTTCATTTCCCTTATTCTTTCTTATTTTAATACATGTTAACCAATAATACATTTTCTAAAATTTTGCTACAACCTTCCTCACTTCTATAGGAGATGACTCTGCTGCCAAAGTGGGACATAAAGGATTGAATGAGGCTATGCAATGAGGGAGGGGGAGAGTAAATTTTCACTGAAAGCAAAGAAAAATGACATTTTCTGGATGGTTTGGTACAGAAAACTTTCTCAGTGTATATACATTCAACATCAGATATCCACAAACATCTATAAATACAAAGCTCTGAATTACAAGTTACTTAAAGTGATGACAAATGATGTCAAGGTTTGTGGTAAGGTACTTCTCTGAAGGACATGTTAAGAAACAAACTGTATGTTAATTATAGCTTCAAGTTTTCTCGTGTCTGAATCTATCAAGAGGAAAAATAAGGCCCTCTAAAAGCAGTGAGTAAAAAACAATTTTTCATTCACATAGAGGAGTGTTAGGAGTCCATTACCAATGTAAAGACACAGCACAAAACAATAAAGAAAAATCCATGTAGTCCAATTCATAAGAACCAGCCTTAAAGCCTTAGCAGAAATGATCCTGCTGTTTCTAATTCCCTGCCCATGGTTCAGTTACATAGAGGAGGGCTTAGAAAACAAGTCAGTCACATCTTTCAGTCCAGTTTGACTCAGAGTTTACTACCGATCGAGATTTCTATTGTAGCACAACTCAGATAAAAGAACCAATAATGAGGGAGTCACATAAGGAAACCTATCTTCTTTGTTCCCATTTCAATAGGAAGTCAGCTATTCCAAACAAGCAAGGGATTCTCAATCAGCAGACCCAAGTTCTAAACTTCCGTCTGTCACAACTTTGACCAGGTCTTCACAAAACATGTTTCTTTCTAGCCAGGCTGCTCGTATCATATGCTGTACAAGAAAACTAATTCAGCAACGCCTCCAAAACAAATAATCTGATTAACATGAGCAGAAGACATGGACAGACGTTCCTCCAAATAAGACATACACTTGGCCAACGGACACATGAAAAGATGTTCAACATGCCTCATCATCGGGGAAAGACAAATCGAAACTATAAGGCGATATCACCACAAAACTATCAGAACGGTTAAAATAAAAAATTTTAGAAACAACAGGTGTTGGCAAGGATATGGAGAAGGAACGTCCATGCACTGTTGGTGGGAATGCAAACTGATGTAGCCACTGTGGAAAACAGTATGGAGGTTCCTCAAAAAATTAAAAACAAAACCACCATATGATCTAGTAATCCTACTACTGGGTAGTGGAATACAAAACTACTAATTGTATTGAATACAATACAAAGAATACAAAAAGACTAATTCAAAAAGATACATGCGCCCCATATTTACTGCAGCATCAGTTACAATAGCCAAATTATGGAAGCAGCACGAGTGTCCATCTATAGAGGGATGGATAAAGAAGTGGAATGCAATATTTTTCAGCCATTAAAAAAGAATGAAATCTTGCCATTTGCAACAACATGGATGGCTCTAGAGAGCAGCATTAGCTACGTGAAATAAACCAGTCAGAGAAAGACAAATACCGTATGATTTCCCTCACGGGGAATTTGAGAAACAAAACAAACAAACAAAAGGGGAAAAAAGACAAACCAAAAAACAGACCCTTAAATAGGGAAGAAACAGAGGGTTACCAGAGCGGGGGTAGGTGGCAGGATGGGTGAAACAGGTGACCGGGATTAAGAGTACACTCACCTTGATGAGCACTGAGTAATGCACAGAATTGCTGAATCACTATAGTGTACGCCTGAAACTAACATAGCTCTATGTTAACTCTGCCGGAATTAAAATAAAAACCCAATTAAAAAAAAAGACAACTTGCCACCCCTGTATCTAAGTTTCCAAAAAAGAATTAACAGATTATTTCAAATTTATTTGTTAAATTCCATACAATGTTGTATACATTATTTGTATTCTCTTAAATAAATGCAAATAAAATCATCTATGGAGCTCAGTAAGATATAATATTTATTAGTTGTAAAACATACATCCAACAGCAAGCCCATTTCCCCCGCCAGGACATACACATATTTCCGATTATGTTTAGTCATATCCTTGTAAGGAGAACAGAGTAATCTTACACTGAAAGAATTATTTTTGGTTCAGTATCTATAGCCCCAGTTTGCAAAAATCTTCTTTTTCAAGTAGTTCCGCCCAGGTTCTAACCAGATATGACCTGGTTAGGTATGACTTAGAGTAAATTAGAGTAAATTATATTTAGTCCCTTAATTCTAAAGTTCACACAGTGTTCTAATAGGCGAAAGATACCAAAAGCAAATACAGATAACTGATTCTAGATCCTCAGGCATTGAGGTGATATGTACACACTGTCTTTAAATAAAAATTACATCAAAATAAGTTGGAAAGCCACTTGGCTTTTAAGTATTGTCTGCTTCCCACACTGTACAGTCTGTTGGCAATACTTTTTAAAGTAAAAATAAAACAATATCTCGATGTGAAGGCTATTAATGCCTACACATTAATTTTGTCTAGCATGTTAGTCATACCAATTTAGTCAAACACCTGGTCAGAGTTTAAAAATAGAGCTTCAAAATCAAGACAGAATTTTAATTGAACCACCTATAGACTTCTACATAGGAACCCCTCAATTTGTCTCTTCCTGAATGTCCTGCTTTTTTGAGGACCAAGTATCTAAATTCAGAATTTCAATATTAAGCTCCACAGAGTAATAAAGAAAAGTGCTAGTTAAATTCTTGGGCCAAGTTCTAGTCAGTGTGTTTTGGAAAAAAACATGTTGTTAACCGGTTAAGGCCAAGAAAAACACACAACTTCTGGTCCCCCTAACAACGATTCTCTAAAACAATAAATGCAGAGTATGACCAGCAAACTGGAAACCAAAAACCTAGAGTCAAACTGGCTTCAGCTTCCCACCTGGAAGCCATGGACTGGGGCACGAGGAAAGATGTGAGGTCTGTAGGTAGATAGTTTTGCCTATTGGTGAAGAACTTTTGGGAAGGCCTAAGTGTTTGAAGAAATGAGAAGACAGGAACATTTCTGGGTTCTGTCTGCTATCACCTTCAAACTATCAGTGGACAGGAGAGAGGTCCATAATAATGGATGTTCCTTCCCAAAGCCTCTATGCTGGGGGTAAGGGGGGTAGATCAACAGTAACTGGCCAAGAGAAAAGTAACCAGTCCTAGTCGGTCAGTAAACCAGCGTCCCATCTCCTAATTTTGCACGTATATACTTCCTTTCTCAATGACGTGCACAGTTCTCAACTTGAAGATATACCTACAAAATTCTCCTTCACCGTTCTTTCTTCAGTCCTGTTCCTGCACACAGGAACCCTGGCACCATAGTCTTAAAATACAGAGGATTATCTAAAGTCAGGTCATACTAAATCATTAGACATAAAAAGTTTCCTTGAGACATTTGCAGTAGTGTTGTTCTTAAAAGATCAGCAGAGAGGCCAGATTCCCATTACATAATGATCAAACATCAACAATAATCACAGAAACCAAAGACAGACGCCTATCCACAGAGAGCAATTACATATCTCCTTAAAGCCTAGAAACAAGCAAACTTTTTAAATGAGTATTTACAGTTAAATTAGGGTAAAGGAAACATTTTCTCTGACTGATCCTAATTTTTTCATTTCTTCAACTGATCCTAGTTTTTAATCACTTACCTCCACCAAACCCATTCCTAAATAAATGTACACATTTATATAGATAACACAGAAAGTTCATATAACATGACCATTATAATGATTCTTTCTCTCTTTTTAAACTTTTTTTTAACTCTTGGGTAATTTTAAATGCACAATTTACTAACAGTAAATACACATTCATGTAACAAGAACCATATCACTATTCTTCCATTGGATATATCCTGAAATACCAACAGAGACCTTGAAAGGTGACAGGATAGCAATCAGGGAGGCGCACTTATTCAATCTTCCTTGGAAACACTTGGAAGTCTTTTTTTTTTTCTTCTGCAAGGCCTTTCTCAGAAAATGCAGGCAGTTTAGAAGTAAAGGACAAAACCACGAATCTCTCTTTGTAGGATATCAGCATTTCTGTTGCAAGGGATGTCATCTCAAGGGCTAGAGCAGCATCTAAAATCACAAGGGAACATATGCCCAATGGTTTACATAAGATCCTTCTAGAAATACATTTCTATCTCACTTACTTTCTTACATTGAAGATACTTATAATATTGTATTACACACTTAAGAAAACTTCAGACTAAACAATATATATCAAAAACAAGATTTTAATGACATTCTTTAGGATAATTAGCAATCAAAACTGTCATGTATAGCATATCATCTCCTTGTCTGTAAATAATGACTGGTTTTGACAAAACAGATCCAAGTTTCATAGAGGCTACAGTTCATACAGTATGTGTAATGAGTGCATTGCCAAGACTTCTCCCAGAGCCTTGGAAGGGACCCATACCAGTGAGGAATTAAGACTTGTTCACTTCATAGTAAATTCACATATGATGGCACAGACATTCAAAATGCTTTGTGGAGGTTAATAGATTAATGACAACAACATATTTATAAGAAGGTGGGATTTTATTATCATCACATTTTATAGCTAATAAGATACTAAACATTGGATGACTTGTCGCATAGTGAATTAGCACTCAAAAGGTCTGATTTGGGGGCACCTGGGTGGCTCAGTGGGTTAACGCCTCTGGCCTTCGGCCCAGGTCGTGATCCTGGAGTCCTGGGATCTCCCCGCATCGGGCTCTCTGCTCAGCAGGGAGCCTGCTTCACCCCCCATTCTCTGCCTGCCTCTCTGCCTACTTGTGATCTCTGTCTGTCAAATAAATAAATAAAATCTTTAAAAAAAAAAGATCTGATTTTTGTTTTTCATTTTTTTAGTACTAAACAGTTATACTTAAAGGAGGGAAATCCTGTTACCATTTAAAATTGACTTTTGATTTTCCAAGTCATTGTTGATGCCTAATCACTTATTATTAATCTATCCTGCTTTCTTATAAAAAAAAAATGTGTGACATGTATTTATCCTGTGAATAGGTCCACAGTGAGGTGGGAAGGTGTTCCAGGGGCCCTGTTTTCTCTGCGGTGACACGTGGTTCAGGTTGTAGCTTGCAAGTCTCTTTTTCCTGTGGTATAGTAGCAGGACAATGTAAAGTCCAGTAGAAGCAAAAAATAAAAATAAATAAATAAATATATAAATGGGAAGCAATCATCTGGTATAGTGCTGATCCTTCTTTATGGGGAAGAAGATTACCAAGCAATCATTTTGTCTTTCTTGCTTTAAAAGCCCACAGGGACAAATGGCTGATAAGGGAGATAAGTATATATCCTTCCACAGCACTCATCATCATAAATTCGCATTACTGGAGCCAATAAAATACAGGAGATTAGTTTAAGAGCAAGAGATGTAAGCTCTATGAAAAGGGATTTCACCCCAGAAACAAATGTCACTTCTGTATTTTTAAGTGACACAACTCTTTCTCCATCAGGAGTTCTCATGGTATCAATCACTGGAGATTACTTTAGCTGCAGTATCTGAACTTCAGCAAGCTACAGAATATTTCTCATGGGAGGACACTTTGCTTTAAGTATGAAACACCTGACATACCCAGTTCAGAACCAAAACGGCTCTCAGTGCTGGTGTTCCATTCGAGGCAAATCAGCCTCCAAGTCATCTGACGGGGGAGATCCTGATACCTATAAGTGAATAATCAAGCATTACAGTGTCTCAATAGTTGTAGAAGTCCCACTCCTCCCAAAATCCCAATTCTTGTTCCTCAAATACCAGATGCTTAGAATTAACTATTCATTGTTCCAGCTGCTGCCACAGAAAAGGCTGACGAAGTAAAGACATGCCATTCTTCGACCTCTTTGTTGATAAGTAAGTTAAAAGAGACTTCTGATGTGCGGAGGTAGTACAAACCCACTATAACCCATCTCTCCTACTTATTACCAAACCAATAAAACCCTTTAGGAAAAATATAAAAAAAAAAAAAAAAACTGAAGATTAAGCAGAGGAGTCAAAAGTTGGCAATGCGGTCGTTCACATGGACGTGGCTTCCCAATTTAGTTTTTTATTTCTGTGCCTCTGTCTAAAAGGCAGGCCCTAATCTCAGAGTAATGAAGTAGTACAAGAGGCCAAAAGTCTGAAAGGAACTCCCTTGTTGGGGTGCCTGGGTGGCTCAGTGGGTTAAGCCTCTGCCTTCAGCTCAGGTCATGATCTCAGGGTCCTGGGATCAAGCCCCGCATCAGGCTCTGCTCAGCAGGGAGCCTGCTTCCCCCTCTCTCTCTACCTGCCTCTCTGCCTACTTGTGATCTCTCTGTCAAATAAATAAATAAAATCTTTTAAAAAAGAAAGAAAGAAAGAAAGAGAAGAAAGAAAGAAAGAAAGAAAGAAAGAAAGAAAGAAAGAAAGAAAGAAAGAAAGAAACTCCCTTGTTATCCCGGAAAAAACGGAAAAAGGGTCCCTGAAGGCCAGCAATTATGTGGGAAGAAGGATGGTCCTGGAGGGAAGAGGGTTAGAGGAAAGGACCGTCTCATTCTGTGTGTGCACCCCAGGAGTCTCAGCTCAGTTCCTGCAGCACGCACGGCAGCGCTCCACCAGCACAGCAGAGGCTTGGGAGAACCGAACTGAGATTTGAATTGCCTGTACGAGTCCCTAGCTAACCCCAGAGCCCCGTAAGCACAAGACAGATGCAAACTAGGATATCAAAGACTTAGAGAACTGAGATTTGAAACACTTCTCACAGGGGATAAGGCAGAATGTACAGTGTGAACAAAAGCTGAATGACTGCCTGCTAAAACAAAAATTTCAACATTCTCCAGAGGATTATGAAGGATTAAAACGGGACCCAGAGGCTACACAACGTAACATTCACAGTTTCCAAGATACAATCAAGATTTTGGCCATAAAAAGATCTATTGGGGTGCCTGGGTGGCTCAGTTGGTTAAGTGTCTGCCCTCAGCTCAGGTCATGATCCCAGGGTCCAGGCCTGCTTCTCCCTTTCCCTCTGGTTGCCGCTCCCCTTGCTTGTGCTCTCTCTCTGTCAAATAAATAAATAAAATCTTAAAAAAAAAGATCCAGGAAAGCGTAAGCAATTGTCAAGGGAAAAGAAAATCAACAGATACCAATCCTGAGATGGCCCAGATGTTGGGACTTTATAATCTTAGGGAAGTTATATATGAGGATTTGTCACTCATCATACCTGCTCTGGAAGAAATGCTAAAGAAAGTTTTTCAAGCTGAAGAAAAATGGTACCAGAAAACAAAACTGTAATCTTTAAGAAAGAAGGTAGGAACAACAGAAATGGTAAGTGGTTAGGTAAATATAGAAGACTACTTTTTTTCCTAAATTGCTTAAAATATTTATGACTATTTAGAGCAAAATGTATGACCTAGTACAGTTTTCAATGAAAGACATACAGTTCTAATATAAAGTCTAGGTTGAAGTAAAAGGAAATATGTCTGCAAGTTTTCTACATTTTATAAGTGGTACAATATTTACTCTAAGTACACTGTGAGAGATTAGTTATGTACATTGCAAAACCCAGAGCAATCACTAAAAAAAATCATACCAAGAAATATCCCCAAAAAGCCAATATTAAAAATATTCAAATACAAAACAAGACTGGAAAGGGAAAACAAAGGAACAAACAAACAAAAAAATAATATAAAGAGCTAGATCTTATATCTATATGAGATATATATTATATATATTATATCTATATAGATCTTTGTACCTATATAATATACAGAGCTAGATCTAGATATATCAATCATCACATTAAATGTTAATGGCCTAACTATTCACTAGCAGGCAGAACTCTGAAGCTATCACCCTAAGTTTCCTGCCCCTGCTTAGTCAATCAAAGTAATTTAGCTCCGCTATGAAGAAGCTTTGCACGTGTAATTAATGTTACTAATCAGCTGACCTTCAGATAGAAAGATTATCCTGGCAGGCTTAATGTAGACCTGGTAAACCATCATGTGCACTCTTAAAAGCAGAAGAGTAAGTCAGAGATGAGGCAGAAGGGGAGGCGAGAGAGGCTCAAAGAGTAAGAACAACTTGACCATTATTGTTAGCTTTGCAGATGGAGAAGGAGGCCACAAGCCAAGGAATGTGGATAGCCTCCAGAAGCTGACAACCACCCCCAGGGGTCAGCCAGCAAAGAAACAGGGACCTCAGTCCCACAACCTCATGGAACTAAATTCCACTAACAGTCCGAGTGGGCCTAGAAATAGGTTCTCCCCTAGAGCCTCCAGAAAGAAACGCAGCCCTGCTGAAATTCTGATTTCGACCTGCGAGACCCAAGGAGAGAAGCAGCTATGCCCAGACTTCTGACCTATGGAAACTGTGAGATAATAATTATTTTAAGTTGGCAATAGTTTATTAGAATGCATAGAACATGAATACACATTTCAATTAAAAGAACTGAACTGATAGAATGGATACAAAAGAAAGACCCTACCTACAGGAAACACTGTAAATTTTAAAAACAGATTGTACAAAAGTAAAAAGATACACCATGGAAACAAGTAAGTATAAGTAAACTGGAATGGCTGTCTTACTCTCATATAAAATCAACTTTGTGGCACAGAGCACTACAAGAGGTAAAGAAAGATATTTCATCATGATAAAAGGAACAGTGTGTCAGGAAGACAAAAACAATTATAAGTGTGTATGTACCTAGTAATAGAGACGTAAAATACATGAAACAAAAATAAACAGATATAAGAGAAAAATAAATAATTCCAAAAGATTTTACTGGATTTTTCTATTTAATGTTAATTTGGGGACTATTTTCTACTAATTTAAATGTTATTAAAATAATATGTGATGTTAAAAAAAAAAAAGATTTTGACAGCACTCTTTCAGGAACCGATAGGACCAAACAAACAAAAGAATCATGAAGGACACAGAAGATCTGAAGAACACTATCAACCACCTTAATCTAATTTCACATTTAGGGTAGGCTATGTCCAACAACTGAAGAATATATATGTTATTTTCAAGGAAACAGGTTCATTCACCAAGACAGACCCTATGCTGAGCCATAAAACATACCTCAATGAATCTAAAACAATCAGAATCATACACAGTATCTTCCTTGACCACATGGAATTAAATGACAAATCAATAATAATAAAATACTGGGGCGCCTGGGTGGCTCAGTGGGTTAAGCCGCTGCCTTCAGCTCAGGTCATGATCTCAGGGTCCTGGGATCGAGTCCCGCATCGGGCTCTCTGCTCAGCAGGGAGCCTGCTTCCCTCTCTCTCTCTCTCTCTCTGCCTGCCTCTCTGTCTACTTGTGATCTCTCTCTGTCAAATAAATAAATAAAAATCTTTAAAAATAATAATAATAATAAAATACTAGGGAAACCCTAAATATCTAACTATAGAACAACACATTTCTAATTAATTCCTGGGTTAAACAAGAAATTACAAGGGAACTAAGAAAATGTTTGGACTGAGTATAATGAAAATACAACATATCAAAATTGGTGGGATGAAGCTTAAACACTGCTTGGAGAAAGAACTGTGTCACTACATACATAGAAAAGTATATAACGGGTGTAAGGGTGTAGGAAGGGGGCGAGCAGAGACAGATTCCATGGATTATGCCATACTTTACTTACAAAAATCTATCTTGCAGATGTTCCACTAGTCTATAAAGATAGGCTTTTATACATGTGAGAATGTTTGTGTTAGGCACAGAAACAAAATACAGTTCAATGTATTGATCCACATCATGAAGAGGGCGAGTAGAGTCCCAGCTTCTGCCAGAAAGCCACTTGCTTTCAGACTCCTGTTGTTTCTCTTCCCATTCAGATTTTCCACACACAGATTCATCTTATTTTGGTATTAATTTGTGTTTTTCACTACACCTACTTTCTCGTTTAGTGTATTTTAAATACAACTGGGAAATGAACAAGTAAACTAAGGGTAAAAACGCAGAACCAATTTATAAATATAAGAGGATTGGTTCAAAGGAACAAATAAAAATCTGAAAAATGAAGGCTGCCAAAGCCTTTCTTCCATTTCATGAAACTAGATTTGGTTATGCGACTCCTGAAAAATGGTTTTGAACAATACTACTACTCACAGAGAGCAAGTGAAAAATTCTGCACCTTTAAAATCTACATTCAGGGGCACCTGGGTGGCTCAGTAGGTTAAAGCCTCTCCCTTCAGCTCAGGGTCCTGGAATTGAGCCCCGCATCAGGGCTCTCTGCTCAGCAGGGAAACTGCTTCCTCCTCTCTCTCTCTCTCTGCCTGCCTCTCTGCCTACTTGTGATCTCTGTCTGTCAAATAAATAAATAAAATCTTTAAAAAATAAATAAATAAAATCTACATTCAATTTAAGATTAAAAGTATACAAAGAATTTATTTAGACTCTCCAGTTCCTAAAAGTAAAATGTGTGATGGTAATTAATCTTCACACAACAGGAATTTGTTTAGTTTTGGTTATCTTGCTGCAGAAATTGTTAGCAGGAGTTAAGACAAAGTGATAGCAGTCAATAAACCCGTTTCTTGGTATCTGTGGGTAACTGCCACTGTAATTTGTTACCCTCAACAATATTATTCCCTTGTTTGTAGAGCTCTACAAAATCATTGAAGGAGTACTGACTGGTAGAAAAAAGCACCCACACAGATTCAGAGGCAACATACGGGTGCAATCCAGGAAACAGAAATGCTTCAATAATGAGGACGGAGAAATAAATCCCAAAACAAAAGTTGTCCAGCACCAAGGAGAAGTGAGAAATCCTTAAGTGCAATGATACATATCCAAAGTTTATAACCAGTTAGGGTTGGCTCAGGAAATTTAAAAGTTTGCCAGTGTTCTTAATGTGAAAATGAGTGATATGACTGTTGCTGAAGCAGCAGAAATGTAACTGTTCTGAAGAATTAAGAGAAATTATAGAAAAATGATTACATATGGAAGAACCAGTCTTTAACATACACGGAGTGGGTTGTCTTGGGCAAAAATGTCAAATAGATGATACGTTTAAAAAAAATATAAAAACAGGGGCGCCTGGGTGGCTCAGTGGGTTAAAGCCTCTGCCTTCAGCTCAGGTCATGATTCCCAGGGTCCTGGGATCGAGCCCCGCATCAGGCTCTCTGCTCCATGGGGAACCTGCTTCCTCCTCTCTCTCTGCCTGCCTCTCTGCCTACTTGTGATCTCTGTCAAATAAATAAACAAAATTAAAAAATAAATAAAAATAAAAAAAATAAAAACAATTCAAGGAGTGAAATATGGGTTATAACATTTGGGTTAATGCAGTGAAATACTATAAATTACCACAAAAGTTTTATAAAAGCCATAGCTAGGTTGCATACATGGTGTGCACATTTTTAATCTATAGAAAATTGATGACTGTAAGCTGGAAAATGTCTATATAAACATATGTGTGATAAAGGTACTAAGAGCAATGAACAGTAAGAAAAAATTTAACAAACAAAATCATACAGATCCCACCAATAAACACACCTAATCCTTAAAAGAGAACTTTTCCTAAGCTACTTTAATAAGGAAGTATGAGACCCAAGTTCTATCCAACCTAGAGGGGATTCCTGTACCTGATGTAATGCGGCACTGGGCATATGCAAGTCAATAGTGGCCAGAGAAGGAATTCGAGATTCTGAGAGATTCTTGTTCTCTTTCCTTATTAACCTGGAATTTCGAGCTAAATAAAAATAACCATAAACACAGTGAAAAAATTAGACATTTTTGTTAGTTATTCCACATTCTGTATCTGTCCCTCAGTATGTACTCAGTGTACATATTTACTTACATAAATCTGTACATATTTACATAAATATGTAAAGTTACTACATTTTTTATTTTTAATATTTTGTTAGTTTATTTAACATATATTTTTAATAATGTATACAAAAAAGGCTACAAAAGTAAGAGCATTATAAACAAACCTATGCCTTCCAAGGCTCTTAGTTCAGGGAGATGACTGTAGTTTAGTTCAGGCAAACGGACATCTGTCTTGGAGTACTCCCTTCTTTTCTTATTTGCCTGAAGTAGGCTCTTTTCACTAGCGACCTAATATCAGAATGATTAACACAAGTGAATTAGCTTCCAGGTAAGCCTGGCTTGCCCCTTTTGTAAGTAATATATTGATATCCTAAACTTTAGGAATTAAAGAATAACACAAAATTTCAGAAGTCCTGCAATGAGCTTTTGAGGTTTTTTATTTGGATGTTTCTGCTCGTTCTTTGAGTAAAGTAAGTACTAAGGTCTTGGTTCAAATCAGTTATAAAATAAATATTTAGTTCAAAAAAACTGTAAGTACAAAAAAATGAGTTCAGACTACTAGATATACATATTCAAAAAGTGATAAATAAAATACATGGGATGTTTATAATAATACGTTATTCACATCTCAGAATTAAAGCATGATGCAGGAGAGCAGGATATGGGTTCTAAACCCAGATGTTGATGAAAGTTAAGGCTTAATTCTGCCTCAATTAATTTTCATCATGAAAAGACTCAAGTGTGTCTTCTCCCCACTAATCTCTACCTCCTCTTTTGAATGCCTCTTAAAAATAAGGATAAACAGAAATAAGATCTAAAATTAACAGCCAGGCCTGATTACACAACGCCTGAAAGGCGGCGCTATCAATTCCAGCAACATGGGATTGAGCCAGCTACTCTGAAAAGTCCTGCTGATCAAAGTAATCTTCCAAAGCAGACCAAGAATGTAAAACACAAAAATATCTACAAAGAAATCAGAAGGGTGTGAAAAAGAGAAGTACTACGGTTCTGGAAATCGTGGGCCAAGAATAATGAAAAGAAAAGTAGATGTAATGCCCAAATCATGAGAGATATGAAAAGAAGGTTATATTTTTCAGCCTGAGGATAATGAGAAGGGTAGAAGAGGGAAATCTGGGAGAAAAACACTCCTTTGGGAAATCCACATCTCCCATTACCTGGCAGAAAAATTCACTCACATTCCTTAAGCATCTTCTATGTACTAGAGTAGATAAGCGTAGTGGGGTAGAGCTGTAAGGAAATAAACAAAGCACATATTCCTGCCTTGGAAACTTACATACTAGTTGGGGGATACAGACGATATATAGATAAATGCATCTAGAGGCTGTTAGGTGTATGCAATGGAAAAAAATTTAAGCAAGGAGAGAGGATAGAGAGCAATGGGTGACAAAAGGAGTTAGGATATTAGGGAAGCTCTCACAATGAGGCTTCATGTAAGCCAAGGAGGAGAAAAGGCAAATTCTTTGGGTTATCTGGGGAATGTTGTAAAGCATAGGAAATAACAATGTTCTAAAGCAGAGGAAATAACAAGCTCCCAAATGTAGGTGCAGGTCTGGTCATGTTCAAGGAATACAAGGAAATCAGTGGGTTGGAATAGTTTGATCAAGAATGAGAATATCCCGGGGCACCTGGGTGGCTCAGTGGGTTAAAGCCTCTGCCTTTGGCTCAGATCATGGTCTCAGGGTCCTGGGATCTAGCCCGCATCAGGCTCTCTGTTCAGAGGGGAGCCTGCTTCCTCCTCTCTCTCTGCCTGCCTCTCTGCCTACTTGTGATCTCTGTCTGTCAAATAAATAAATAAAATCTTTATTAAAAAAAAAAAGGGGGGGTGGTTAAAAAAAAAGAATGAGAATAGCCCAGGTAGAATAGAGGGATGGGGAAGTGGGTTGATCAGGGACTTGCAGGCCCCGTCAAGGACTTGGTCTTTACTTAGAGATGACAAGCCAATGGAGGGTTTTGAGAGGAAGAATAATGATGATTTAAGTTAATTTTAAAAAGAGGCATGCTAGCAGTTATGTTGAGCATAATAACCCTCCCCTGAATCTTCAGAAGACCTGTGAACCTTGTGCATGCTTCCACTATTATAATCCGACACTGTTTGAATTTGTTGACCCTATACTAGACCATGAGCTCCTCGAAGAGAGGGATTTGATTTCTTCATCACCAGGGTCTCATACAGGATACTTAATCAATAAATATTTATAAACAAATCAATAGAATATTTTCACCAAAAACCTGGCATGAGCGAGGTACCACGATTTAACTTGTCACCTACTCTACAAAAGAACTGATCACCAAGTATTAAGAAAATTTACTACTACCAAAAAATTAAAGCAGATGTCATTTAAATAATATCTTATATTTAAACTTCTAGACTCACAAAACTTACTTAAACTTTAACAGTTTCACATTGTTTATTATGACAGGTTGGGATGATATACATAAAACTAAGGTTCCACTTTATGATAGGTCTCCAAATGAAAGTCTCAGTTCTTCACTATTATATTTAACACGAGTGGAAGTCTAGAAAAGACTAATATTTGCTCTTCTACCACTGGGAATAGCTCACTTACGGATGTGGTCACATTAATATTATAAATGCCTGACGGAGAATGTTTATTTGGTTTAACAAATGGGATACAATACTTCCTGGTTTTTTCGTCCACTCTGTAACAACAACAAAAAATTTAAGTTAGAACCAGCGGTAATTCTTTTTCAAGCACAAAAGCAAAACCAAATGACACAAAACCAAGTGACCTGCAGTTTAATCAGCATTTAATGCCTGTTCTTAAATACACAATGAACATAGATCTGGCGAAACCTTCAGTCCTTTGCCACTACCTTCACGACCCCCACCTACCTCCCAACTCCAACCAAATGAACTACTTTCCTTCCAGCAAAATTTCCAAAGTGAGCATCTTTGGACCACCAAATGCCCACAGCCATTCCATGTAGGTAAACCCTTAAAACCAATTATTTCCTTTATTATGATAACCTCCTTTCACGTTTTTAGACTAAAGAGTTGTAGACCATCTTCACCTTAAATAATACAATCCTTCTTTCTTAATACTCAGGTGAATTTTTTTTTTTTTTTATCAAGTGTTAGTAAGTTTCGTCCCGTAGGCCAAAAAGGCTTTTGAAACAGAACCTGACAGGAATGAAGAGGACCCAGAAGCCTGAAAGCAACCCAATGTGGCTGATTTGACAAACACTTGCAATTCGTAAACATACCTTTAAATGTTTAAATGTAAAAGACACTTTGTTCTTATTTTCCTAATTCATACCTGTAACTCTGAACTCCGGGGATAGTCACCATTCCAGAATTAATCCCGGGAGCCACTACAGAAGGATTGTGGGCAATGGGAGGGATTGGCACGCCCGGATTTCTAGTGTGATCCCCGCCGCCGTTGCTGCAATCTCGGAGGCTTGCTGAAGGCCCGGTTCTGACGTGGCTCATCCCATTGTCGGGGGGACAGCTGACATTGGAAGTTCGACTGACTTTTTCAACTTTTTCTCCATCCATTTTTGACCCTTTTATTTTAAATACCTTAGAATCTTTAATTTTGGGATCAGCATTGGTATCCTGACCATTAAAAAAAAGTTAATAACATTAATGATCTGAAGAGATTGAAAAAGCACCTCTTCTTATAATTTGTCAACGAAAGTGGAATTCCATAAATATCACCTTACTGCACCCCTGTTTTCTTCATTCTATCTATAGAATTAAAATTAAATCCAGGATTCTTGGTCAGACATTTGTTTTGAATAAAAATGCAACTCACGGGCTACCTGGCCAGCTCAGTCAGTAGAGCGCGCAACTCTTGATCTTAGGGTTGTAAGTTCGAGCCCCAATTTGGGTGCAGAAATCACTTAAAAATAAAAAAAATCTCAAAAAAAAAAGAAGAAATGCCGTTCACACTAGCTCTGAGATATATATATATATACATATATATGATTAACATGACACATACATATATTAAATTTATATATATATTTTAGTAGAGAACAATGTGAAAGAGGAATTAAGTATGCTCCTTTTTGTTCTTAAAAATCTAAAGTACAAAAATTGAAATACAAAATTGAGAATTCCTTTCAGTTCACTTGAGAAAATGGGAGTGGGTTGGCAGTGCTTGAATTACCTCACCAAGAACAGATTCTGGATAACCTACTTGCAAAAATAAACTTTAAATAAATATCCAAATCTCAATTTTAAAATGCTCCACACAAAATTTTTTATATGATATTTTTCACTCCTATCACTTAAGGGAAAAAATGATATGTGCATGTGTTTGCGTCCATGTGACTATACGTGAGTACATGTGTCTAAATGTTCTAGAATAAATGTGGTTTCCTGACAAGGCCTATTGCACAGTCTGATATATAGCAGGCACTCAATACATGATATGTTGAGAGAGTTTTTTAAAAGGTAATGTCTAAAGAGAAGATAACATTTTTATAACTAATCTAAACGTTAACGTGTTCAGCACCCAGAAAACTTTTTTTCATCTTCATTTTTTAACTCCAAAAATTTAAAGATAAATTAAATCTAAAACTTAACATTAGAGCACCCGGGTGGCTCAGTCGGTTAAGCCTCTGCCTTTGGCCCAGGTCATGATCCCAGGGTCTTAATATCAAGTCCCTCATTGGGCTGCCTGCTCGGTGGGGAGCCCGCTTCTCCCTCTGCTCCTCCCGAACCCCCCACCTTGTGCGCGCGCTCTCTCTCTCTCACATACAAAAATAAATAAATAATCTTAAAAACAACAACTTGATGCACATTAACACATGGTGACTTACCTGTACCACAAGTGTTTTTCTCTCTTCACCAAAGAAATCATCTTTTTCCTTTTCCTTCTTTCTGTTCTGAGATTTTTTAGATAAAGAAATATTTCTGGCATCTTTCTGTACTTTTAACTGTAGCTCTTGAGAAAATCTACATAAAAATACATTTGTCAATTCAATAAAATTGTATAAGACAGACAAATCTAGAAAAAAAATTCATTTCAAGATATTTATTTTTAAAAATTGAGTATTAAGGAGCAGCTGGGTGGCGCCATCGGGGTAAGCATCTGCTTTCTGCTAAGGTCATGATCCTGGAGTCGAACCGTGTCTAGCTCCCTGCTCGGTGGGAGTTTTTCTTCCTCTCCCCCTGCCCCACCCCCTGCTCCTTCCCTCACTCTCACTCACTCACCCTGTCTTTCAAATAAATAAATAAAATCTTTTTTAAAAATTGAGTATTAAACTAGACTATAGGGGCGCCTGGGTGGCTCAGTCAGTTAAAGCATCTGCCTTCAGCTCAGGTCATGACCCCAGGGGCCTGGGATGGGGCCCCACATTGGGTCCCCTGCTCAGCGGGGAGTCTGTTCTCCTTCTCTCCCCTGCATGTGCACTTTCTCAAATAAATAAATAAAATCTTTAAAAATTAAAAGAAAAGAAGAGGAACGGTGTCATTATTAGAAATACAAAACTCAACTAGCCACTTTTTTCAGGGAACATTTTTAGTTGAAGAAAGACTGACAGAAAACTACTACCATTATTCAGACTTGGTGTATCCTGCAGACATTTTTTTTTTAATAAACAAAAGAAAACAATAGATATTTGTGTTAATGATAAAATTCTAATTTTTATGCAAAATTAGAATTCTGTTAAATTTGTGTCCACTACTGTGCCCTTAACAGAGTCCCAACACTTAAAAAGACTTTTCTGATGACAGAGAATGTGGCTTTTTGATACCACATAATGAACTATGTTATCATTTTAAAGAGCTACATTATTTAACAAAATAGTATTTTCCAAATGACTCATAATGATGTTACAAAAGCATGCATGGGTAACAAAGATCTACTCAAAGTGCAAGATAGACAAATGGATTTTAATGTAATAGGGTAAGAAAAGTTCACTGATATGTTTCAGATTCCATAATACAACCAGCCTTTAAGAAACTACCACTGTCAAGTTTGGGTATAGTATCAGAGTTTGGGGTATGGAATCAATAAAAAATACTCACAATTATCTACAAGGGCTACTAAAGGGGCGCCTGGGTGGCTCAGTGGGTTAAATTAAAGCCTCTGCCTTCGGCTCAGGTCATGATCCCAGGGTCCTGGGATCGAGCCCCACATTGGGCTCTCTGCTCAGCAGGGAGCCTGCTTCTCCCTCTCTCTCTGCCTGCCTCTCTGCCTACTCGTGATCTGTCTGTCAAATAAATAAATAAAATCTTAAAAAAAAATAAAAGGGCTATTAAAATACTCTTCCATTTTACAACTATACATCTGGTGAGGCCAAAGTATCTTCATATATCTCAATCAAAACAACATATCACAATTAGTTGAATGCGAATGCAAATATGAGAACCAGGGTATCTTCCATTAAGCTCAAGATTAAATAGATTTGCAAAAATATAAAGCACTGTCATTGCCACTCATCTCACTATTTTTGTTTCGTCAACTGCATTGATGCCAGCAGCTGGGACAGCACAAGAGACCATGCCAACGGGTCTGGTGCACCCAAGCTTGGCCCAGCAAGGTCCCAGCACAGCGGTGGCAACAGTCTCATAGGACTGGGTGTGGTGTGAGGTCAGTGGCAACAGGAGATGCCATGTTTGCAAACGCATCAGTACTCAAGATGATGGCATCACACAGCTGGTACAACATACAAATCAGTAACCTGAGTGGTAGATGTCACCCGCAGGAGCCAGAAAGAAAAGCATGAAGTGACTGTTTCATGAAAACCAAGATCCTTAACTTAGTGAATTCAGGGGACCATTCCTAGGAACTGCATAATTGCTAAGGGTGAATAGTGGTAAGGTGGTAAATACTTGAGATCCTATAAAAACAGGTGGCTAAAGAAATAAGAGAATGCCCTTACTTTAACTCTAGGTTCAGGTACCCAGAAAACGTGAGTCTGTACTATACCTCTCGGCAAATCCATCCTTATGAAAGAAATCATGATGGAGGAGTTCAGCACAGAAGGGTCTTTTGTCTGGGTCAATATGTAAGCATTTCTGGAAAAACAAGGAATATACACAGCTCATATCAATGAAAACCTGCCTACACTTAGATTCCTAAATATAGAAAAATGGAAAACTGGGGCATCTGTGTAGCTCAGTCATTAAGCCTCTGCCTTCAGCTCAGGTCATGATCCCAGGGTCTTGGAATCTAGGACCGCATCGGGCTCCCTGCTTAGTGAGGAGTCTGCTTCTCCTTCTCCCTCTGCATCTCCTGTCCCCCTCCCCCACTTTTGCTCCCTCTCTCTCTCAAATAAATAAAATCTTCGAAAGAAAAAAAGAAAGAAAAATAGAAAATTGCTCTCTATAGTCAGCGAATTTTAAAAGCATATAATAAATGATAAAGAATAAAGAAAATATCTAGACAATGACCACCAATGGTTGCTAAATCACAAAAAGAAAGACTACCAGACATTTTATGTCTCTAGATGGAAACATACAAACTTCTGATGTAGTCTTGCCAAAGATCTCGTTGGGGAGACTGCTTACCCCTCTGTCTCTACCTGCCTCTGTCTGTTTGTGTTCTGTCTGTCGTATAAATAAATAAAATCTTTAAAAAAAAAAATTCTAAGGGTCAAACAACCTACTTTCTTTATCAAAATAAGTGGCAAGATTTAAATAAAAAAGAAAGGCATGAATATGAGCTTCTAAACTAAGATATATCAACCAATTGTGATCTACAGACATCATGTAAACCCTAATTCAAACTATAAGAAGAAATTATGAGAAAATCAATGAAACTTTGAGCATTGGCAAGATGTTTTATAATATTGGGGAATTATCATAAATTTTTAAAATTTAAAGCCCTTGCAGAATGGAAAGGAAAAGGCCTGTTCTGTGTATATTATTGTGTTGGATTCTTTATGCAGATTATTTTATTTTAATGCAGGTCTTGTTCTGATGTATTGGAACCACTTAATGCCAGAAAAATGGAAGGAACTCCATAATTAGCTTTAAGCAAACAAGAAGAGTTCTACAAATAATTAAGGTATTTATAAGTGAAATAATATAGTATCTGGGGTTTGGTTCAAAATACTACAGAAAACGAAGTTGAGGAAGGTGAAGATAGATAAAAGATTGTCAAAAGGTTGTTAATTGCTGCAGCTAGAAGATAAGCACAGGAAGATTCATTATACTCCTATATTCTCTCTACTTTCTTTACTATATTTGAAATTTTCCATAACAAAATGTTTAAAAGTTATATAATTCTACCATAAGGGATATAAATTGGATAAAAGTTTTACTTTAATTCCCTTTAAATCTCTATAGACATCATAAATTTGGTCTCAATAAGAAATATTTGAATCTGCTTTAAGATTACCTAGAGAAGTAGAAATTCTTCTAAGAACTTGTAATAATTTTATAAGCTTACCAAACTTTTTTTATGAGTTATTTAAAAAATTTAAGAAGCAAAAAAATCTTGAGAAAATATCATATGATCCTGGTGTTTCAGATAAACTGTACTTACTTTATCAATACTTCAGGACAGTCCTAATAAACAAGAATTTTTTGAGCTAGCAATTCCAAAGTTCCAGTGAGAATTTCCCTAACATCTTTCTCAAAGACAAGGCAAAGGTGATGATCTTTTATTTTTAAGTTTGCTTCATTAAGCTTCCCAGGGAAGAGGGCTTGGGAATACGACACATATGGGCAAAAGCCTCATTAACAAGGCAGTACAGGTCATGATCCTATGCCTTATATTTTACTATTTTGCTACTTCTTTACCTTTCTTTTTATTTCCTTATCCTACGTTTCTTCTCTTTTCCATTTGCATAGGCTTACATTTTAAGTGTCAAACATACTGTTGTGAGGATGTTTTCACACTTAAAACATGCTAGATAGCAACACTAAATGGTTTCTTAAGCAAGTTTCTCAGGCCTTTCTCTCTGAAGATCACCCTGCCAAATTATTTAAACTCTTTCTTTACATACAAAGATAAAAATCAGGGGCGCCTGGGTGGCTTGGTCAGTTAAGCGTCTGCCTTCAGCTCAGGTTGTGATCCCAGGGTCCCGGGATCAAGTCCCAAACCAGGCTTCCTGCTCAGATTTCCTCTCCCTCTGCTACTACTTCTGTTTGTGCTCTCACTCTCAAATAAACAAATAAAATCTCTTTAAAAAAAAAAAAAATCAATAGAAGGGCACTTGGCTGGCTCAGTCAACGCAGCATGCGACTTGAGTTCAAGCTCCAAGTTGGGCTTAGAGCTCATTGGCCCAAAAAAAAAAAGAGGCGGGGTTGCTGACCTCCTGGCTGGTTCAGTTGGTAGAGCATGTGTCTCTTGATCTCAGGGTCGTGAGTTTCAGCCCCATGTCAGGGGTAGAGTTTACTTAAAATAAATAAATTAATTTAATTTAATTTAATCAATATTAAAATTGTTGACCTAAAACATCAACTAGACAAGAAAAAGAGAAAACCAAGTCTCTATGATATAAATTCACTGTAAGAAAGTAAACAGTATGATTACCTTTGCTAAATCTATCACAACCTCAGAGAGTTTGGGATAACGTCTTTCAAGAGGTTCTGTTTCCTTGATTTCTGGCAACCTTACTCCAGCAAACACGGGATTTTTATAAAACAGCTCCTGATGTCTTGGAATGAGATTACCTGAAAGTGGGAACAGCACACATCTCTGTCATTACATGTCATGATAAAAAGAACAAAGAAACAGGTAATGTGGAGTGGATAAGAGTAGAACATGGCTTATGGACTTGGGGTGCTTTCAATACCCAAATCAACTGAAAACTGTGTTCTTATGGTGGTAGCACCTAGCAGTCTTCACAGTGGTGTTGACACAAATTAACTCAAGAAAATTAACATTCTTATCTCAACCTACTGATTTAGAAAATTCACAAGCCACTATATATAGAACTGAAATCATGAGGGAACAGAGAAGAAGCACAAGGACTTTTTATAATTTTTTAGATATAATTACCAACACTTCATTCCTAACAACAAAGCATGAAGTGCTGTCCAAAACAAGGAAATTTTATTAGTCATATGATCAGAATCTAATATAGATAAATCAGTTCCACCCTTTAAGTATTTAATTCTAAAATTCAGATTAAATTGTTTTAATTTTTTAAATTAAAACTGTTTTAAAATTTTTAAAATCTGATTTTATAACTGTGTCCAAGGTCTGATTTGAGCACTTTTTTGTTTTCTTCCATTTTGGTACCTAATCTAATACGAAATATGAAAATTCTGCTATGAGAACCTTAGTGTATTGTTTATTGAATTTCTACCTGGGGAACTTAAAGTCCAGTCGTTAAATAACTCAAGTATTTTCCCATTACCTCCATTTTCCAAGTTCCATCTCCCAACATAAAGCTGGTATTTCAACAAATGTAAGAAGAATTTGATAGTCTAGCTTTAAAATTCTGTCCAAAGCACTAAGATTAAACTACCTAGGAAGTCTTTGCGTCTCTTAATTTGAAGGTGAGGATGACGGTACTAGTCATATTACACTGACTGCTTGCTAACCCAAAGAAAATAAATGATCATTTGCATCCCCTACATGTGATATATTGAGTGCAAAAGTACAAAGAAAATTCAGTCTTTGCACTTTTCTTTGTAGGGAGTGCAAGAGGAGGGTGGAGGAGAGCATGAATAAGACTGTATGTCAGATAAACCAAAGCCACACTGAGAATGAATTAATACAGATAGGAGAGATTTCCCCATTTGCTCCCTCCTGCCACTTAAAACACATATCATCTCGAATATACCAACAACTTGTAAAACCAGTATGAGCACAAACATAAGGGAAAAGCCTTTAAAATTTAAAAGGCAGATGTATAATCTTACCTAAACACACCATAATATGATATAGCTGGTCAATATCAGAATCTCCAGGAAAAAGGGGTTCGCCCATGAGCATTTCAGTTACCAGACAACCAATGGCCCATACATCAACAGCCCTGGAATAAAAGCAATGTGGTATAAAATCCGGCATCCCACTACGTTTATGTGACTGAATCTGTCCTGCATATTACTATTTGGTATTTTTGGTATTGAGAATAGTAGTAGTAAGCTTTATATTACTCTTAAAAATACATTTCCCTATAAACTTAAAGTACTAATTCCCAATTTTACCCAAGTCAGATCTCCAGGAACTTCAGTTATTTGACTTAAGAGAGAAAAGGCTTCTGGAAAGTCAAAGTCGTTATTACGTGTACTTGATTCTGGAATTAGCCTTCTGGGTTTTCATTCAGAGCCTATTTGTTCTTTGTTTATATGTAACTGTAGCAAGGTTGATCAGTCTATCCCACCATACCCTGAAAACAGCATATCAGAGGTTGCTGGAGACACATTCAGTAACAACAAAGAGAACCGATAGCTAACTGGGGAAAAAATTTAAAAACCGTCTTAAAAATCAGTCACAAGAATTTAAAGAAGAATATGCTGGTGTCATTAGAGTAGGGACAACTACCTTGAAATTTGATTTTATTTATTTATTTGACAGAAAGCGCACAAGCAGGCAGAGCATCAGGCAGAGGGAGAGAGAGAAGCAGACTCTCCACTGAGCAGGGACCCCAATGACAGGCTGTCCCAAGACCCCAGGATCACGACCTGAGCCGAAGGCAGAGGCTTAACCAACTGAGCCACCCAGGCACCACTACCTTGAAATCTCTTAGGGTCATAGCTGAATTGTAAAATGGCACAGGGGCATCTGAGTGACGCAGTCAGTTGGGCGTCCAACTCTTGATTTCGGCTCAGGTCATGATCTCGGCTCAGGTCATGATCTCAGGGTTACGAGATCCAGCCCTGCACTGGACTCCATGCTCTGTACAGAGTCTGCTTAAGACTCTCTCTCCCTCTGTCCCCCGCCTTCTCTAAAGTGAATAACTTCTAAAAAATAAAATAAAATGGTACAAAACTACAGTATAAAAATAAAATGAGAACTCCGAGTAATCAAGAAAATATTAAATGATGTGTGCACTGAAAACACAGAAAGTACAGAAAACATTTTAGGAAGATTTCTACCCAAAGCAGTAAAAGTCACCATCCCTTCTTCTCTGAAGAACTCATTTGTGCAGGTACTTCATGTTTCAGAAACATTTCACTCAATTACGTTTCTACGCCCATCTTTGCCAACTCCAACTTGTCTCATTCCGACAGCGTCAGACTTACTCAATCAATGTTCTAAATATATCTATTTCCAACCTGCTGTACAAAACAGACGAGGCACTCACCTTTATTTCCTTACCTTTAAAGTAAGTATGCTTTCTCCAACTCATTGCACAAAAGACATTTAAAGGGGAAGCACCAAAAAGAGCAAGTCACCTTATAAAGCTCCCTAAATGCAAAAATTCCTTTCATTGTTAGAGGGATCCTTTATTATATTAGAAACATATTCCATTTTATCAAGAAAAACAGTGTTAAATCGGCCCTCCCTGCTCCCCCACCCCCTTGTTGATGTCTTACTTGCCATACTTGACATCACCGACCAATAGTTCTGGAGCTCTGTACCATCGGGTCGCCACATAATCAGTATAAACTTCCCCAGGGGCTGCCAATGTTCGCGCAAATCCAAAATCACATAATTTGACAACGCCAGACTGTGAGACTAATATATTCTCTGGCTTTATATCTCTGTGTATGATCTAAGACAAAAAACAGAATATGACACATATGGGCACTTCAAGTTAAGCAAATCATTTTTTGAGCACCTGCCATGTGTACTGTACTGTTTTTGTCCCTATCATGAATACAAATAAAAGCATATGAAATTGTTCCCAGCTTTAAAGTAACTGGGACCTGGCTAGGCAAGAAAGGACACTTACGCTTGAAATTTCACTTAAACAATCAAACATATTAGATGAAACATTTATTACTAGATACCAAATCAATTGTTCTATTAACGACTAACAGAGTAAGGCTATCATTGAAGACCAGAGTGATCATGGAGAATTTTTATGAAAGGGGTCGCTTCTAAGATAGGTCTCTAACTCTATGTGCAACCTGGATAAATATAGAAATGGAAGGATGATCTGAGTGAAGGAGAGTAAAAGAGTGAAGACCAGGGGCACCTGGGTGTCTCAGGTGGTTGAGCATCAGGCTTGATTTCGGTTCAGGTCATGATCTCAGGGTTGTGGGATCCAGCCCTATGTCACACTCCCCACTCAGGGGGGACTCTCCCTTTTCCTTACCTCACCTCCCCTTTCTCTCTCTCTCTCTCTCTCTCTTTCTCTCTCTCTCAAATAAATAAATAGGGGTGCCTGGGTGGCTAAGTCATTCAGTGGCTGCCTTTAGCTTAGGTCATGAACCCAGGGTCCTGGGATGGAGCCCCACATCAGGTTCCCTGCTCAGCGGGAAGCCTGCTTCTCCCTCTCCCTCACCCACTCCCCCTGCTTGTGTTCCCTCTCTCGCTGTCTCTCTGTGTCAAATAAAGAAATAAAAAATCTTTAAAATCAATCTTTTTTTTTTTTAAAGAAAAATACTGAAGACAAAAATAGATCAGGAAACTCCAGGGAAATGTTTTCCTAGAGTAGAGGTTATGTGCTAGGGAGGAAGACTGCCTCAACTGCCAGCCTGGGAAGTCTGAGTTTGTGCTAAGACTTCCCAGCGAAGGGGCGCCTGGGTGGCTCGGTTGTTGGGTTGTCTGCCTTCGGCTTGGGTGGTGGTCCCAGCGTCCTGGGATCAGCGTCGGGCTCCCTGCTCAGGGAGAGGCTTGCTTCTCCCTCTTCCACTCCTCCTGCTTGTGTTCCCTCTCTCACTGCCTCTCTATCTCTCTGTCAAATAAATAAATAAAATCTTAAAAAAAAAAAAAAAAAAAAAGACTTCCCAGAGAAGTGGGAACCCATGTAAGTGACAACCAATATGGTGTTTAAAGATGCTGGCCATAAACAAACTAAATCAGAAAGAGGGACCAGAGGCCAGGAGAAGAGCAATGGGACAACTACAAGATGATAAGGGCCTAAACTAGGCTGGTGTTCAGAGAAATGGAATGGGAGAGATACAATTTAGAAATATTCTCAATTAGAATCAAGAGAATTTAGGAAGTAATCTTAGACATTTTACTTAAACCTGGGAATCTAAAATAATGGTGGCTCCATCAAAAAAAGAAAAGTCTAGAAAAACTCAGCTTCATGGAGTAATCAGCAGTTTAGTTTTAGCCATATGGTTTTTAGGTGGGTTGCTGAGCACCCAACTGGAGGCATTCATCAGGCAGTTAGAAATGTAAAAAGGGTACAACAAGGTCAGTAGTTAGGATTTCTAAAGGAGAGACTACGGAAGGAAGTAGAAAACAGGATGCTGGGAGACAATACTAAAAATTCTACAGCTAGGCAAAATAAATGATTAGGTCTCCTCTAACATAAGCAAGCTTCATTTTGAACATTTAAAAAATATATTTATTTTTTAAAGGATTTTATTTAGGGGCGCCTGGGTGGTTCAGTGGGTTAAAGCCTCTGCCTTTGGCCCAGGTCATGATCTCAGGGTCCTGGGATTGAGCCCCACATCGGGTTCTCTGCTCGGCAGGGAGCCTGCTTCCCCCTCTCTCTCTGCCTGCCTCTCTGCCTACTTGTGATCTCTGTCTGTCAAATAAATTTTAAAAATCTTAAAAAAAAAAAAAAGATTTTATTTATTTTCTAGAGAGAAAGAGCAGGAGAGAGCGAGCGAGCGAGCAAGAGCGCAAGCAGAGGGAGGAGGAGAAGCAGGCCCTACTGAGCAGGGAGCTCTTTGTAGGATTCAGTCCTAGGACTCCGGGATCATGACCTGAGCCAAAGGCAGCTGCTGAACTGACTGAGCCACCCAGGCATCCTTAAAAATATATTTATTTTAAACTCTTTCAGAGGACAAAAGCAACCTGCTATTGCCGAGCATTTTGCATAAGCTACCAACTTCTCTTACATGCTAGACATTCGTGGTGAGGTCACAGGATCAGCCCCACAGCTACTAGCATTTGTTATTTATCTAATCACACACACATTTAAAAATATGACAGAATCAATGTGTTGAGTTATTTATTTTATACTATATTTATAACTGTCATTTCACCTAGAGGGGCTTTTATATGATTCTCAAAGGATATAAAATTAGGGGCGCCTGGGTGGCTCAGTCATTAAGCATCTGCCTTCGGCTCAGGTCATGATCCCAGGATCCTGTGGTGGAGCCCAGTGTCAGGCTCCCTGCTTGGCTGGAAGCCTGCTTCTCCCCCGCCCCCTGCTTGTGTTCCCTCTCTTGCTGTTTCTCTCTCTCTGTCAAATAAATAAATAAAATCTTTTTTAAAAATGGATATAAAATTATTATGATAGACTATAGGGTAAGAGCAGAGATTTTCAGACTTTACAACTAGGATATGAGAATCTGAACTTAAAATTTGTGCATTTCACCCAGCAAATGTTACCTAGGGAGGGAAAAAATAGCAAAACTCCAGTGTAATATTCATACCTGAAGTATTCAAAGTTGAAGTGTACTGATGTCTGTAACTTACTTTCAAATGCATAAATAAACAAGACAGGTTAATGGGTAAACGGATGACTAATGCAAATATAGCAAAATGTTAACAAGTATAGAATCCTTGTGGTAATTATATGGGTGTTCATATACACGCTTTCATCTTTCAGTACAGCCTAAAATTTTTATAGTAAAATGTTGGGGGAAAGACTCCATGTTATTATGAAACATGAAAATTGGCAGTATCAAAGTAACATGTTCATTTCTATTACTTTATTGGTCCAAACTTCAGGCTAGGCAAGTATCTCATGAAGTGATGGTATCTGGTAAGTTAACCATTGGCAAAGTAATTATTTAAACTAAATACTTACATTGTGACTGTGACAAAATCCAATTCCATTAATAATCTGAAACAAATACTTTTGAACCAGTTGGTAGTCTAGACCATTAGGAAAGAGCTCCAAGTCATCAAGAATTGTATGGTCAACAAATTCAAAGACCAGGTACCATCGTTTTTTTTTCTTACACACTTCCAACAAATTCACCAGATTTTCATGCCTCAGTTGCTGTTGTAAAAAAAATGCAAAATTGTTTTTACAACATTGAATTATTTAGCAGTCACTAAAATCTTTGCATAAGAAAAACATATAAATAAAATTTATAAACAGTGTAAATTGTTAAAAGCATATTCTGGTTTTTTAATTATAGTCAAAAGACCATACTTCCCCATTCTCCTCTCAAATAATACAATTAAACGGATGAGAAAAAAATGTAGCTCCATCTCTGATGACACTAAGCAGGATCTACGACCCCTATCCACAACAAACAAGGTGGCACTGCCAAATGTAGTCAAGGTCAAACAGAAGTTTATGAAGATATCAAGAGATCGCCTGTAGCTAAAAAGCTGGGGAGAGCACAGTAATCCAAAATTGGTGACATACCCTGAAAAGGGAAAAAAAAAAAAAAACTCCTTATTTGATAAAATAGGAACAAGATTCATGGGCTGTCAGTGAAAGCAACCCTAGAACTGAATGGTACCAAAGAGCAGCAAGGAAGGGAGGCCTGAATAATCACACAAAAACTCATTTGCTGGAAGCAAATCTCTTGGTGAGGCCAAATGGAAGGCAAAACAACTCATTATGAACAAACCAGCAAATGCAAGTATAAGTCAATCCCACAAACCAGGATTGCATTGTAAGGAACATCATTGTGAACCATGGTGGATTCCTGCTAGCCTAGAATAAGATCACACCTTCTCCCCCAAATGAAATAGTCCAGAAAGGGCTCACTTTGTTACAAAATAAGAAACAATAAAAAAGAAACCAATCCAGGATCTATTCAAAGATGCTCTAAGAAAGAAATGGTGGATGAATACTCATCAGAAAATGTTGCCCCCATTAAAGGGAAAGAAACTACTAGCACACAGCCCTGAAAACCCTCAACGAAATAATGATCCAGGAAATTTATACCCAACAAAATTGTCATTCACGTAAACCATGACAATGAAAAATTTCAAACATTAACAGTGAATCCGTTAGTGCAGGACTAAGTCTTAGACAAATGTGGGCATCAGGGTCACAAAACAGAAAGTGAATATTTAAAACTTAATAAGGCACAAATGATATTACTAACAAATTTTGAAGAAAGAAGAAAAGATGCAAACAAGAGTGTATGTACGCTGATTTCCTTGTCAATGGGTCAAAATTATTTTCAAACTGAAATTTTAAATTACAAGGCCTAATTACAGGTTTCATGGTAAACACTAAGATAAATAAGATATCTTTGAAAATCAAATGAGTGAGTGGGAGAGAAAAGGAAACAGAAACATAATAATTAGTTTATAAAGGATTACATATATTATATAATGCTATAGTTATGAAAGTAACAGACAGTAAAAAAAATAGTAAAAATAAAAATAAAAAACAGTAACAAATAATTACAAAAAGTAATTTCCAAGTTATCAAAGGAAACATATCCAGTATTTTAAAAATAATTCAGAGAGTATATAGAAAAATATTCTTAAAGGTGTACTAAAACATCATAATATTATAAGTAATAATAACCAATATTTACATACTCCTTACTATGTTCCAGACACTATTCCAGCACAAAAACCCTATGAAATAGATACTGTTATTATTTTATTTTACAGATGAGGAAACTAAAGCACATAGAAGTTAAATAACCTATCCAAAGTCACACAGCAATAACTGTTAGAGGCCTCTGTCTTTTCCTGAAAACATTTCATTTTTGTTTAGTTCCTCCTTCATTTCCAGAATGTCTGCAAAGGAAGCACACCCAGACCTGCAGCTGACTTGAATGCAGAATATTTAGATTTCTTATTCTTAACCGCTAAGCCATACTGACTCCTTTTTTTTAAAAGATATTATTTATTTATTTCATGGGGCGCCTGGGTGGCTCAGTGGGTTAAGCCGCTGCCTTCGGCTCAGGTCATGATCCCAGGGTCCTGGGATCGAGCCCCACATCGGGCTCTCTGCTCAGCAGGGAGCCTGCTTCCTCCTCTCTCTCTCTCTCTCTCTCTCTCTCTCTGCCTGCCTCTCTGCCTGCTTGTGATCTCTCTCTGTCAGATAAATAAATAAAATCTTAAAAAAAAAAAAGATATTATTTATTTATTTCAGTGAGAGAGAGAGAATGAGTAGGAGAAGGGAAAGGGAGAAGCAGACTTCCCACTGAGCAGAGAGCCCAATGCAGGGCTTGATCCTGGGACTCTGGGACCATGACCTGAGCTGAAGGCAGATGCTAACCAACTGAGCCACACAGGCGCCCCCATTTTGAGTCTTAAAGGGGAAAAAATGAAAACTAAGACTGTGCTTATCTGTTACATCATAACTATAAATGGGCTAAACTCACCTATTAAAAGATTCCAGATTGAACCACAAAGCACTTTCCAATATATCACTGGTTAAGTGAATTAAGGAGTATCCATACAATGAAATAAACTGCAGCAATTAAAAAGAAAAATGTAGGGGCACTTGGATATTTTAGTTGGTTAAGAAATTGGGGAAATGTGGGGCTCCTGGGTGGCTCAGTGGGTTAAAGCCTCTGCCTTCAGCTCGGGTCATGATCTCAGGGTCCTGGGATCAAGCCCCACGTTGGACTCTCTGCTCAGCGGGGAGCCTGCCTCCCCCTCTCTCTGCCTGCCTCTCTGCCTACTTGTGATCTCTGTCTGTCAAATAAATTAAAAATATTAAAAGAAAAAAAAAGAAATTGGGGAAATGTGTTGCCAGTGGACTTGCCTTGCAAGAAATGTTAAAAGAAATAATTTAGAGAGAAGGAAAATAATATAGGCCAGAAAATCTGGTCTACATAAAGAAAGGAAGAGAATCAAAGGAGTAAGTGAATATTTTTCTTATTCTTAATTGATATAACAGATAACAGTTTGTTCAAAATAGTAATATGAATAATGTATTTGATCACATGCTTATGAATATATCTTCTGTATATAAATGCTTAGGTATGCTTATATATAAGTGAGATGAATGGTAACAATGGTACAAGAGACAGGATGAAGGAATTAGGATTACTTTATTATTAAAAATCACTCATATACATGTGAAGTGGTATAGTGTTATCCAAAAGTGGATTTGGATTAGTTGTAAATGTATGTTGCAAGTTGTAGGGCAAGTACAAAAAAAAAAAAAAAAAAAAGTTTAAAAGGAACTATAACTGATAGGCTAAGAAAGAAAAAAAATGGAGGGACGCCTGGGTGGCTCAGTTGGTTAAGCAGCTGCCTTCGGCTCAGGTCGTGATCCCAGCGTCCTGGGATCGAGTCCCACATCCGGCTCCTTGCTCGGCGGGGAGCCTGCTTCTCCCTCTGCCTGCCATTCTGTCTGCCTGTGCTTGCTCTCTCTCCCTCTCTGACAAATAAATAAAATCTTAAAAAAAAAAAAAAATGGAATCATATTAAATTTTCAATTACAACCACAAAAGGCAGAAAAGGAGTGGAAGACAAAAGCAGAAACCAAAAAAAGGGCAACAAATAGGAAATAGTAATAAATATGATAGAGAGGGTATGTGCTATGGTGAGTACTGTGAAATGTGTAATGATTTGTGGACTTGTACCCCTGGGGCAAATAATACACTATATGTTAATAAAAATAATTTAAATAAATAAATATATATATAAGGTAGATATTAAAACTATATCACAAAATAGTCAATTTGAACGTCAAGGATCTAAATATTCCAATTAAATGATGCAGAATGTCAGAGTGGATCAAAACACACACCTTGGGACGCCTGGGTGGCTCAGTTGGTTAAGCAGCTGCCTTGGGCTCAGGTCATGATGCCAGCATCCTGGGATCGAGTGCCATATCAGGCTCCTTGCTCGGCGGGGAACCTGCTTCTCCCTCTGTCTCTGCCTGCCTCTCTGCCTACTTGTGATCTCTCTCTCTCTCTCTCTGACAAAAAAAAAAAAAAATCTTAAAAAAAAAAAAACACACAACCTTACTATATGCTATCTATTAGAAATACACATTAAGGGGCGCCTGAGTGGCTCAGTCATTAGGCGTCTGCCTTTGGCTCAGATCATGATCCCAGGGTCCTGAGATAGAGCCCCACTTTGGGCTCCCTGCTCGCCGGGAAGCCGGCTTCTCCCTCTCCCACTCCCCCTGCTTGTGTTTCCTCTCTTGCTGTGTCTCTCTCGTCAAATAAATAAATAAAATCTTAAAAAAAAAAAAAAAAGAAATACACATTAAGTATAAAAACACATATAAATGAAAAGTAAATGGAGGGAGGGGTACCTGGCTGGCTCAGTCAGTAGAGCGTGCAACTCTTGATCTCAGGGTTATGAGTTCAAGCTCAGGGTTGGATTTAGAGACAACTTAAAAATAAAATCTTTAAATAAATAAATAAGGTAAATTAAATGGATGAAGAAAATATACCACACTAAACCAAAGAAAGCAGAAGCAGTTATATTCCAGACTAAACCAAACTGCAAAGTAAGAAAAGTTATCAAGGATAAAGAGGGCATTTCATAATAAAAAGGTGTTAATTCTCCAAGGAGACATAATAATTCTTAACATGTGTGTCTAACAACAGAACATTAAACTATATGGGATAAAAATTGATAGAACTGCAGGGAGAAATAAACAAATCCACTGTCATAGTTGAAACTGTCAACCATTCCTCTCAGAAACAGATAGGCCCAACAGGTAAAAAATCCATAAGGACACACAGTTAAATTCAACAACACCATCAACAAACTTGATATAATTGACATCTACAGACCACCCAAAAACAGAATTCACATTTTTCTCAAGTTCAAATGGAACACTCACCAAGAAAGACCACATTGTAGGCCACAAAACATACCTTAACAAATTTAAAATAATAGAAATCACACAATGTCTGCTCTTGTCCCATAGTGGAATTAAAGTAGAAATCAACAAAGATAACTAGAAAATTCCAAAATATGTGGAGATTAAACAACACACTTCTAAAATGAAAACATAGACTAACAGTTCTACCTTCCTCTTTCTCTCACTCTTTCTCTGTGCTTTTATTTTTAAAAGCTGATGATTACCACATTTGGTAGGGGTAGGTA